TCTTTCCCTCTGGCCCAAACAGATTAGTGGGGTGTAGGCCAAGAGTACTCCACACATCTTGGCTTGAAGGGTGCCCAGGGTTTCTAGAAATCCTTGCCATGAAAAGGATCCATTAAGTAATAGGTGCTACTTAGCATTTTACTTGAAAATATTTGCCATCTCAAACATTTCTAATAAGTGTTTAAGCACATATTCTGTCTATTTGTATTTGCTATACTCCTGTTTTGAGCTAGGTAATATTATCTTCTCAACAGTCTGGATTTTCCTGATGCTATTTGTTATTTGTTGAAAGGTTGTCAGAGTTTTTCTCAGATTTTGGAAACCTTCACTACCTGCAAGAGAATGCTAGGGGAGATCCTATCTGCATATGAGTTCATGGATGACAGGTGCATGAAGTTGGTTGTGAGCCACCTCAAGCTGTCCAACCCTGTGACAGGTACCAAAATTGATATGCTATGCGTAAATAGGAAATTGCGACGTAAGACTCTGCTCTGATGTCAGGGATCTAGACATCTTTATTTTACTGTAGAAAAAGGCTTGGAAATGTGAAATATGTCTTGGATGTTATTTTCAGAAAGTGTTAATGAATATTGGACCAACTGCTTTGTTGACCTGAAGGAAAGGTTGCTCCAGGAGTGGGAGGAGGAATGCAGTGGTGGAACCTTATATGAAAGTCAGCTCTGTCATGAAGTAATAAACTTTCTGCTGAGGTTTAGAAAAGTATTCAGCCAACACGTTGGAAAGGTTAAAGGGTTTCTCCAGGGATAGTCCTTATGAAATGCTGCCTGTCTTTTGTGTCTAGGAAGAAGACATCATCCTAACCCAGGTGTGAATTTTGTTGAATAAATTCAATTGATGTTCTGCCATAAAGTATCTCTAAGCAGGTCTCCTAGTCTTGTCACTTGTCAGGATCTGACCTGGCATCATTGCAGTCGTGACATTTTTCCATGGCTAGGGTTTACATTTCATTTTGAAACATTGGTCCCATCTCAAGATCAAGGGTCATATTAAAAGTGATTACTGGAAAGGTGATGTATAAAACAGCTGATGCAGCATCAGTGCTATAGGGCACTGGAAGCAATGTGGAATGTCAGCATGAAGGGCTTCTTGGTAGAACTTTAGTCTTGATATTTCCATTCCAAAAAACATGTGGTCACCTTCATGATATATGACATACATGTCAGGTAGCAAAGTTTATTTCCATGTTTATGCAGAGTCCCACTCTGAAATACTCCCTCTCAACACAAAACAGATGTTTTCATAAGATCAAAAACATTTTCTGAATCTTCAGCCCTAACAGACATGACATCCTTTCTGTCCTGTTTAAAAGTCTCTGCCTTCTAGCCAAGGGAGAGTGCAGAACCATTGTTCATGAGGGAGACTTTCCACATATCACAGCACTGGAGGAACCCAGAGTTACATGACTTGTGCCTTTGCAATAGAATCCCTAGAGAGAATGGTGGAATAATACCAAATATTAGGAAGATCAGTTATCCCAGTTGTCTGCTTTTTTACAGCAAGAATACTTTATTTTTTACCCAATGACTTCTCAAGGTGACATTTAGTCCCCCAAATGAAGTCCCTTTTACTGACTGTCCTCACGTCCTGTTCTTTCTCACTTCCAGAAAGCCCCTTTTTTATTTTGATTGAAACGTCAGGCTCTAATTCTACCCATGATCAAGAAAAACTGAACAACTTTCTGGAATGTGTCATGGCCTCTGGTTTGGTGACAGATGGGACTGTGGCCACAGATGATAAGAAAATAAAGGTGATTTCCCATCCTACCCTCCTATAACAGATTTCAAATCATGCTTAACAATGACAGATGCTTGCACAGTTTGACATTTGGCATAGAAGCTTCCAGGGCACCTGAATGAAGGAAAACCTTTAGTTTATTTACCTGGTGAATCATATACACTAGTAATTTTCTTTGGTAGCCTTGAGGGTGGCTTTCCAATGTACTGTTTCCTTCCTGGCTCTCTTGTGGTTACAGAATAAATATTGAATCTTCCTACTCAACATATACAATTCTGTTTAGAACAAAGTAATAGAGAAAGCCCTCTATTAGCTAATGTTGCAAAAGAATATACATCGAGTGGATGAAAGGCCTGGATTAAGCCTGTGCTAAAAATTGGGAAGGCTTGTAACCTTGGTCTGTACCTGGACTCTTTTTTCCATTTAATATGTTATAACACTGGGCATGTCTATACAAGATGTTTACTAGGGAGGGCTGTGCAAAACAGCACTGTTTTGCTTTAACTTCTGTTTCAGTGTTTCAACGGAACTGTTTTGTTTCATTTCGAAAGCACTGTTCTGTTTCATTTCATTGAAACTTTCGCTGTTTCAACATTTTGCCCATAGGTTATTCCACAGCCAACGTCGGGAAGATCAGTGCTGCCACTGGCCCTAGCCGGCAGCTCCAGCTTCCTGTGATCTGGGAGGCAGATTGGGAGCCTGCACCCCCGGGAGTAGCCTGGCACAGCCCCTGCAGCCCTCCCGGGGGTGCGGGCAAACGTCTGATCTATATGCTGGATGACAGGAGGCTGGTGCTGCCGGCTGGGACTGGCAATGAAGCCAAGTAAGCCTGGCTTTGAAACTTGAAACGTTTCGAGTGCCATTGTTTCATTTTGAAGCTGGTTTCAAAGGCTTCTGTTTCATTTTGATTTCTCTGTTTTGAGCTCAGAATGGATCGAAACAGCTTTGAAATGAAACGCCAGCAGAAATTTCATATAGACCTAAGGTATACTGTACAGTTGGTGTTTACTGTGCAGCTAATTAGCCTCGGCGTTTGCATGTGCACCCCTATTAATTTGGAGTAAACTGATTTTCCTCAGCAGGATAGTAATTGTAAATATATAAGTACTATCCTGCTGTGGAGTAAAAAACCCCACAGCAGTGCACATGTAGACTCTGGAGGACTGGCTGAAGCACGAACTATAGACCCGTCAGAATCATAGAGCAGATCCTTAAGGAATCCATCTTGAAGCACTTGAAGGAGAAAAAGGTCATTAGGAACAGTCAGCCTGGATTCACCAAGGGCAAGTCATGCCTGACCAACCTGATTGCCTTCTATGATGAGTTGACTGGCTCTGTAGATGCAGGGAGACCAGTGGATGTGGTGTACCTTGATTTTTAACAAGGCTTTTGATATGCTCTTCCACAACATTTTCACAGGCAAGCTAAGGAAGTATGGGCTGGATGAATGGATTGTAAGGTGGATAGAAAACTGGTTGGAACATTCGGTTTAGAGGGTAGTAATCAATGGCCCAATGTCTAATTGGCAGCCGGTATCAAGTGGAGTGCCCCAGGGGTTGGTCCTGGGCCTGATTTTGTTCATTGTGTTCATCAATTACTTGGAAGATGTCACAGAGTGCACCCTCAGCAAGTCTGCAGATGACACCAAGCTGGGTGGAGTAGTAGATACACTGGAGGGTAGGGCTAGGATTCAGAGTGACATGGACAAATTGGAAGATTGGGTCAAAAGAAATCTCATGAGGTACAACAAAGACAAGGGTAAAGTCCTGCACTTAGGATGGAGCAATCCCATGTACCAGTACAGGGTCAGGGCTGACTGGCTAGGCAGTAGCTCTGCAGGAAAGGACCTGGGGGTTAGAATGGACAACAAGATGTGTATGAGCCAGCAGTCTGCCCATGTTGCCAAGAAGGCTAATGGCATCCTGGGTTGCATTGGTATGTGTGTTGCCAGTAGGTCCAGGGTAGTGATTATTCCTGTCTACTCAGCACTGGTGAGGCCACATCTGGAGTACCCCCAGTATAGAAAAGAGGTGGATAGATTAGAGAGAGTCTGGTGCAGGGCAACAAAAAAGGTGAGGGGGCTGGGGGACATGACTTATGAGGGGAGGCTAAGGAAACTGGGCTTATTTAGTCTAGAGAAGAGGAAATTGAGAGGGGATTTAATAGCAGTCTTCAACTACCTTGAAGTGAGGGTTTGAAAAGAGATGGAGCTAGACTGTTCTCAGTGGTGGCAGATGACAGAACAAGAAGCAGCAGTCTCAAGTTGCAGCAAGGGAAGTCTAGGTTAGATATTAGGAAGAATTTTCTCACTAAGAGGATAGTAAAACACTGGAACAGGTTACCCAGAAAGGTTGTGGAATCTCCATCCTTGGAGGTTTTTAAGACCCAGCTGGACAAAACTTTGGCTGGGATGATCTAGTTGGGCATGGTCCTGATTTGAGCAGGGGGTTGGACTGGATGACCTCCTTGGGGTCCCTTCCAACCCTCATTTTCTATGATTCTTTGATTTCAGTGTGGGGGCTACCTGCTGGTTAACCCCACACTGAAGCTTTCTCGTGCCCCAGCCAGCCTTTCCGCAGCACACTGAGCCAGGGGGAGTAGCCCCGGGCTGGCAGGGTGACCCCTGAGCCCCTCTGCCAGCCAGGGCTGTTCTGACCCAACTCTACGTGCTGTGCACATATAAGTTCTGGAGCTTGTTGCTCTGGAGTTAATTGCTCCTGGGTACATGTTTAAACAGTGCACCTGGGTGTAATTAAATCCAGAGCAATAAGCTCCAGAGTTTGTTTATGCATAGTAATAGCACATGTCGATGTTGCACTCAATGTATTGGAAGTATATTGAGGGTACTTTGACATCTGTAATCCTTACATGGTGATCAGGGCCTTGCTGTGCGTAAGCAAACTACAGATGCATCACACAGATGGTCTTTGCCCCATAAAGTTTAAAATGTAAGTACAAAACAGAGCACTAGATTAATACAACAGAAAGGGAGAGTGCAAAGGAATAATGAGACAGTGGGGGTCTGCATAATAAGCGGTGCCCAAAGTGCCCCAGATGCCTGATCACTGCTGCTTTTTTGTCAGGATTGTAGCAGAATGTAGTTTTAATGCTGACAATGAGGTAGCTTAGTGGAGTGCTCTTTCCACAGTCTACCCTTCCCATAGCTTACTGCACCAGCAAGAGACCTGGCTGTTGGCCTTTCATTGGAGCGTTTGTAGTTTAAGATGCCAAGGTAGTTCACATGATGTCATTCTCTTCTGAGAAGCAGGCTTTGTGATGTAAAATAGTATCTTTTATTGCTGTGGTAGGCAACCATTTCAGGCTGTGGGCCAGAATGGCCCACTCTGGGTTGAAGGAGTGTGGGTGGGTGCTAGATCCTTGTCACTGCTGCCCTTTATCTTCTGAACAGCTTGGGGAAAGTGCCCACAGCAGGCATTTCTCTCCCGGCAGCACGGGGAGAGCACCCACAGAAGATGCCACTCACTGCTGAATGCTGCCAAAGGTTCCATGGGCCATAGCCAGGCCATAGGCTGTAGGTTGCCAACCCCTGCTTTACTGGATAAACCTTGTAGTCAGGAGGGACTAAAAAGCCTTCGGGCACAAAATGCCTTTCTTCAGATCTGGAGAAGAAGCAGATGATGGCCCAATAAAAGATGTTCCCTTACTTCAAACATCTTGCTTCTTACATGTTCCCTGGACCGTCATGGCTCCAGTGCTTTCCCTTCTGAGGCAGGAACTAAATACACTGAAAACTGGCAGTGAGGGGGGCACCCAAAGGTTTCTATGGACTGAGACGGATGCTTTGGCCCAGCTACACATGGGGCTGGCACAGTGGGGTGCTGTAGGACAGCACTGAGGTGCATCAGAGCTGGCATGTGCAGCAGTAGGGTATTGAGAAAGTTGGTTATTTTAACCTTCACCCATTTATCTGAAATAGAGATTGCCTGTCTGGAGGTGCCAAACAAATGTAAATTGAATCTCTCAAGAGCCATAAGGTTATTAAGTATGCAGAGGGAAGACATAAGGCCATCACAGTAGCCCTGACAGCTGAGGAATTGTTCTTCCCTTCTATCCCTGTGTCCTGAACAGTGAAATCTGAGGTACTCTGTTTTAATTTTTCTCTCTCCAATTCATTGTTTGATCTCATGAATCATAGACATTGTGGGCTCTGAGGGAGAGGATCACAGAGGCCCTCACTTATGATGGCTACGTTTTCAAATACGACATCTCGCTCCCTGTGGAGAAACTGTATGATCTTGTGATTGACACCAGAGTTCGACTGGGCAGGAGTGCCAAGAATGTGGTAGGCTATGGCCATCTAGGTGAGTTGAAATATTGAGAAATGACACAGGTATCCTCTTTCAGGTTAATTTCGGCTCTGGGTTCATTCAAAGAGTTAAAGAGTACCAGAGGTATAGCCATGACAGGATGTATGAAAATTTAAAATTAAATGGAACAGTATTGGAAAGTAGTGGACTCCAATGCCAGTGGCGTATTTGATCCCAGAACATTAACAACCCATCTGTTTGTAGTGCAGTACAGGCAGTCCTCAAACTTGCGACACAATTGGTTCCTGAAAACCCCGACTTAAGTTGAAGCGTTGTAACTCGGAACCAATTTTCTCATAAGAAACATTGTTATAAATAGGGGATGGGTTCCTGAACCAAGGCCTGATACCCTATTTTCACTAAAAATACCCCAGAATTTTGCACTCGATCAATTATAGATGAGTAATATAGCTACATTAATGTATTTATATTGTAAATAGCAATCATATTGATTTGGAAGGACTTCTTTGAGGTGACTTTGGACTTTTTGAAGGGTTCTTGGCTGGAGTCTTCTCAGGAGTCCTGGCTGCAGGTTTTTCTGGAGTTTTGTCTGCTTTCTTAAAGAAAGTGTCCAAGCAAGTTTGGACAGATGTTCTCCAGGGAGATGGGTGACACAGCGAACTTGTCTGCTGGCATGGCATCACATTGGATCAAGCATTGTAAAGTCGAAACTGATGTCATAAAGTTGAAACGGTGTCAATTTATAAACCTTGTAAGTGTGAAACATTGTAACTCAAAACATTGTAAGTTGAGGACCGCCTGTATATTAAGTTACCCAGTGATCCATTGCCTTCTGCTTCCTTATCCAGTCAATTGGGTTAGGTTATTTAATTGTACAACACATTTGACTTGTATAGCCCAATAATAAATGTTAGTAAACACCACTCTGATTAGACCAATTATGGTTGAGCTGTTAACTCACCAGAACAACATGGTTAAACTAATGCAGCTTAGAAAATAAAAGAGTTGAGACTTTGAAAGGGATATGAGAAACTTAAACAGTGAAATTTGACTTCAGTGAGTGCAGAGGCCACCAAATTGGTTGCTTAATAGCAGAGCTGATCTAATAATCATGGAGAAGCAGTAAACATTTTCTGTTTGTGTACATTTTAGAGAAGTGTTAGATGTATTAGACAAGGGGCTTATTAAAAGAAGAGGTTTATCTACATAAGAATCAGTTATACATTTTAGCCATTAAGATCAAGTTATTTCTATTGTGAGAACTCTTATTCCAAAGTATAAATGAACCACTAAAAACTTCAGATTTATCTTTGTGTATCTGGGATCCCAGATATTCCGTAAGTATTTAGATGCAGGTAAAGCTATTACTGACAGACAACCCCAAATAAAACATTTTGTTTTGTCCCCTTTTGACATAATCCAGAGCTTCATTTAAATGGTTTCATAAGTATAAAGAGAGATTTAAGAAATCATGTAGGGCTAAGTGGAAATGTTGCAATCTTAATGAAATAATGTGAAAGAAAAGCTTGTTGCACTATATTTTAACCTTAAAAACAACGTTGTGGCTGAAGTTTTAAATTACAAAATCAAGAAATTGAAAGCTCCTTCCCTCTACTTTTATGAGGGCTTTGCACAGGAGCAAGGAAGCCGTTTGAGTTATTTGAGCACATAAATTGTTTCAACAGAGGAATCAGTATTTGTGGTGTGTCAGTCTGTGACGGCTCTCTCTGGGCGTAACAAAGGCTGTGCTGTGTTCCATAGCAGAGCCAGCAATGAGGGTCCAGAGGAAGGCCACTCGTATGGTTAGGGGCTTACAGGACAAGCCCTGTGAAGAGAGACTGAGGGACCTGGACCTCTTCAGCCTCCTCAAGAGAAGGCTGAGAGGTGATCTTGTGGCTACCTACAAATTCATTAGGGGGTGCAGCAAGGGATCAAAGATGCTCCATTCATCAGGGCGCCTCTTGGGGTAGCAAGCAACAATGGTCACAAACTCACAGAGAGCCCATTTAGGCTAGATATCAGGAAAAACTTCTTCATGGTAAGGGTGACCAAAATTTGGAATGGGCTTCCAAGGGAGGTGGTGCTCTCCCCTACCTTGGGGGTCTTTAAGAGAAGGCTGGATAGGCATCTGGCTGAGGTCATCTGACCCCAGCACTTGTTCCTGCCTAGGGCACTCTTTCCTTCCTAGGCAGGGGGTCGGACTCGATGATCTTTTGAGGTCCCTTCTGACCCTAGTGAATCTATGAAACTTCATAGCTGGGTCTTTTGGGTCTTTTAGTAGAACCATCTCAGACATAACTCTGTTGTGCTTTCTTCCAGGAGATGGAAACCTGCACTTGAATATCACAGCTGAGTCCTATAGCCATTCCTTGCTGGATGCCATTGAGCCATTTGTGTATGAGTGGACTGCAAAGTATAGTGGCAGTATCAGCGCCGAGCATGGACTGGGTTTCAAGAAGAAGCACTACATTCAGTACAGTAAGCCCTGGGAAGCTGTGCTGCTGATGCAGCAGTTCAAGGCCATGCTGGACCCCAAAGGGATTCTGAACCCATACAAGACACTGCCTTCTAGTTCCTGAGGACTCTGTGCTGCTGAGAAATGTGCATATACCCTCTTTTAAGGAATGTCTCTAACTCAGTAATTGCACATTAGGCAGAAACAGGCTGATCATAAATGTGAAATGCAGCATTACTCATTTTATTATCATGATGAAATGGTAAAGGAATGCAATCACTCCTCTGAGAGCTGTCCATCATCACTCAAACCCAAACCCTCTGGAAAGAAGAGACCTCTGCTGGCCACAGTTACATGGGCTCCTCCTTGGACATGAAAGTTCATGTGGAGAACAGGTATTTATATACATGAGGTTCCTGCCTGACAGTCCCACCCTCATTTTGATGCTCAGTGTTGTTTTTCATCCCACTTTACCTGGTGCAATCTTTGAAAAGGTGTTAAATCTCTAATGCTCTGGTGTGGTTTTTCCTCTTGGTGGTCTCTTGCTTCTGTTGTTTTATTTAGAGCTTATGCTTGTGAACACTAGTGACAGAGCTGCAAAGCAGCAAGAAGAGAATGTGAGCAACATCTAGAATTTTTTTTTTAGACTGGCTGCATTTTCTGTCATAGGTTTCTTGTTCAGGAAGAGGCCAGGTGAGAACTTTTGTGCTTTTTATGCTATGGAGCAGAACAGTCGGCAACCTATTTTCATCTCCTGCACCTGTAGTTTATTGCTCCTTTAGTTTAGGTCTCCTTCATTCTTGGCACCCTCATTGATGTAATAGAGCCCATAATCCTCTTGTGCATAGACTTGGTAGACTCCCTGAAACAGCCCACAGTCTCGTTAACCTGGTAATTATGTATCAAGCCAGACTGTTTTGATATCAAAGATTGCATTGGGGCATCATGAAACAACATGCAGATTTTAAACAGCATCTAGTTATGCTCACTTGTTGGCAATGAAGGGGAAGAAAGGAAAGAAGAAAATATGTGAGTTAACTCAAGTGCATAATTTAGTGTTCACATATGTCCTTGTGAGTAGGGCTGTTTAGGTACTTGACAGAACTTTCTCATCCCTGATACTTTTCTCCATGGTGCAGTACAGAGAGGAGTCTGGTATGGGCATCAGTGGCACAGAAAGAAGGATTAAGAAGATGACCACATATTGGTTGTATGGTTCCCTGCCACTTAGTTACTGGCAGCTTGTCAGCATCAAACCATATGAAAGCAAAATTCCACGTAAAATAGAGGGTTGGTTGTGGGGATGGGTGGTGGGATTAGAGAGCAGATTGTATCCCTAGAAACTCACTGAAACAGACAGGAAAAGATGATGGAGGTTTCAGCACTTACTCATGTATGCCTGGCCACCGTTTTCAAGTTGCTGAGGTTAACCAGCAGGAGCATTAAATAGGAAAAGGCCTTTCTGGACAGGGGCACGAGTAGACAGCAGAAGAGTAGATGCCACCTACACATGAGGTGGAGATAATTATGGTTTCTCATTTGTGCTGCACACCCAGGAACCTCTCTAACTTCATAACAGACCTCACGTTTTATAGAGAATCCTAAATGCAGTGGAAAACATTCTCTGTCAGGGGAGGTTTGACTCTTAAAGACTTGACTGCATTAAAAATATATAATTTTACATTGTTTTAATTTACAGATTACTGTATACAAATAATTTGCCTGTGTCATACTGTAGTCCAGGTATAGACTTCATTCTGTTTCTGAAGAGAACACCTGGTACATCTTCACATTGCAGTGCTTTTTCTAACACATGTATGTATTTTTAATAATGTAAGGGTTATTAGAAATAAATCAGTTTTTAATCTTATGATTCCAGCAGGCAAGTTTTTGTTTCTCATATCCTTACTGGAAGCAGGACTTCTTTGTGCCTCACCAAAACCTGCAATTGGTGCCTAATGCAGCTCTGTCAGCGGTACAGGGATTATTAAGCAAACAGGTCTCTGGAGATTCCTTGAGCAGAATGGGTTTCCCTGCTTCAAGAAACATATAGTGGGTAGGGCCAGAGTACTACTATGCTCTGGCTGTTCCCAGCTGTTTTGGTGATCCTTATGAGGTGCGGGCAGTAGCAGGTGCCAAGTCCAGTTTAGAGGAGCCAAAATCTGGGGAAGGCATAGGTAGCTCATGAACTGCTTCTTTTATTCTTTCCTCATGGGGCCTGCACCAAACTCAGCTGGAGGAATTAGAACTTGCCCCCTTCCTGGGGTTTGGCTTTACTAGTTTTCTTCCTTAGATTGGTTATTCAGAAGGTTTCTTTGCAGACACCTCTGTGCGCTGTATCCCAGGTCTCTCTCTTCACAGAGACTTTCACCCATCTGGTCTCCTGCAAGGATTCTTAATGCATTTATGTGAGTCATGAGCAGTCCTTGGAGTAGACTGGGACTTAAGTCCCCAGCACCACCACCTCTCCATCCCCCAGGACATAGAACTGATAGGCCACAATGTCATGCTCACTCTTGTGCTCTCCATCTGCCCTTTTGATACTGAATTCTACTCTGTTCTGTGGCACAGCTTAAAAAGGAGAATTGGAGAGTGCCGTCACCTAGGGGCTAGTGTTTATGGCATGCAAAATGCAGCAAATGTGAGTTTTAATTTCCTCATGCCAAGGTGGGAATTGAAACAGCCTTCCCACATCTGTAGGCTATTCTGTAAATGGGTAGGGCATTGGGAACCCCAACCTTCGTATACAGCTCCTCAGTCTGCCATGGTAGCTGCGCTTTGTGAGGAGCCCAGTCCTGTTGGTGTGTGGTAAGTGTGCTCTGCAAACCACTCCCAGATTGGAATAATTATAGGAAAGACCATAACAGCAATGCCAGGTATTATGCAAGAGGGTTCAGGTGCCATTTACACTAAGACGTCATTGGTTCAAAAAAATTGCTCCTGTTGAATTCAAGTCAAATGAGTTAACACAATGCAAAACCTTGTGTAGATCATTAAAATCAATCTAATCTTAAGAATGTAACTTCCGTTAATGGACAGAATGACTTGGATTCTGTCCAAAGTGGATGATGAATGTGGGTAATTTCATGCTTTTGGCTTCTCACCTGGCTTGTTATATGATCTAATAATAGAAGGGAGACCAGAAGAGATCAGAGGATGGGAGAAGGGGAACAGAGAATGGATAAAAGAGTTGAGAGGACTGAGAAACTCAGGTATGGGGAAAAACCATGGAAAAAGAGCAAAATCTGCAAAAGCACATTAAAAAAATAAAGATGGAAAGGAGGAGGAGAGGGAGAGGAAATGGGCAGATAAAGAAGGGTTGATGTGCATGCTTCCCATCAAGGTGCAACATTAAGAGGTGTTCAGTGAAGTAGGGAGTAAAGCCGAACCAGAGCATTGGGGACCCTTTACATCTGACTTGACTAGGGACCCGTGCTTCAAAAAAGTTACTACTGGACATTTCTTGCTAGCATGTAACCACTAGAGGGCAGTACATTCATAGGTGCAGGACACTGGTGCAGGTGCACAGAAATGGGAGGACAGAACAGGTGAGAGTAGATGTTTGGGGACCTCACTTTTGTTAAAATATTTTGGGAAGACAATATTTTGGGAAGGCAAAAGACCACAGTAAACAGTAGACTTGGTAAGGTATGTTCCATTGTTCCCTGCTTTGTGGCCTTTTAATCTCCTAATTTCTGTTCTTTACAGATGGTTTATTTATGGAACATGCCATTGTTCTGGTAATTTATATGCGGATCTGTGACAAATGCCTGGGACTCACCCGGGTGGTAAAAAGAGGCTGGACTAGTTGTGTAATAGGACTCAATTGCTCTTTTCCTCCAGAAGGGGTCACAAAGCCTTCAGTGTGACCATATTATGTTACCTGTGTGAAAACAAAGCTGCTGCACTGTAAATGCGACAAGGCAACTCCTGATCCTTGATGCCATGGGGGTTGTGCTGTTGGGGCCTTTCTGAAGATTGTTCAGTTCAGACAGACTCCTACCCCAGAGCATGGGGTTCAGCTACAATCATTAGGGTACGGACATCTACTTAGATGGGTCATGCTGTATTATGGAATACAGTCAGGGGTTTATTAGCCTAATTTGTTGTTTATCTTATGTGACAGCCTAGAAGGGCTTTTATGGAGGGAGGGGCTCCACTGAGTGAGATGCTGTAAGTAGTATATAGGCTCACTTCCCTTCAGTGCAAATGTGACAGGTGGGCAGGATTGGAAGTCCCGCCCCATCACCCTGCCCCCTTTCCCATAATATGGCATGTGACATCACAAGCCCTGCCCCACCCCAGTCGCATGGTACATGACATCAGCAACTCTGTCCCCAGTCATATGGTGTGTGACAGCAACCCCAACCCCAGTCACATGGTGTGGGACACCACCACCACATGGTCCATGACATCAGAAGGACAGCCATTCTGCTTTTGAGAAGGCGTCTGGAGATTATTAAGCCTCACGCTAAAAAATGCAGCGCAAAACATAGCCAAAGGCATGATCGGTCACATCTCTGGAGCTGTCCTGGTTAAGGTGGTCAAGCCGGCAAAGCAGGAGGGGTCTGGCCTCGTGTATATTCAAAGAAAGAGCCTTAAAAGAAAGAGAGATGCACCACACTCCGGACGTACAGGACCTCCTCAACCCCTTAAAAGGAAGAGATTAAGTCGACGGGGCAGCCATACACGAAAAACCAAGAAGCAGCCTGGGAGAAAGAAGGGGTGCTCTCCTGGAGGAAACAGAAATATATTTTAATCGCTATGGCCTTTGTTCACTGTGGATTTGAACGCGCCAAATCTGAATGTCATATTGAATGTAATAGTTTGAATGCTTGTAATAGTTGCCCATTAGCCAGTTTAGACAAAAGGGCGAGGTTCATCTTATCTAGGTTCGTTGCTTGTTTTGCTTGGCCTTACAACGAATGTACTTACATTCGTGTAAGTAACACGTATTCGTGGTTTTTGTACTTGGACAAAAACGTTGCATCAGTCTTTGGTCTCAAACTGCTCTCTTTTGGACATGAACAAAATCAGTTCAAGCAAAAGACGTTTATTTTTGGTGCGGCGCCAATGTGCAGGTTTTGAAAGCTCTCTCTGAAGGTGGCGGTGTCTACCTGCAAAAACATTGTTATTAACACAGGCCCAGACAGTTGCAAGAAATCACCCCACAAAACTCATGTAAATTATTTACCTCTGCAGAGTCCCTTGAGACAGAGTTGTCCACGCTCTCCATAGGCAGGTCTGATATGGACTGCCCGACTTCTGTCACGGTCCCTGGTCTTGTTTTGGTAGACTTGGAATCCATCTCACGCTCCTGAATCTCCTCCATGTCTGCCCCTGCTTGCCTTGGCGCAGTCTCGGACAAACGGAGGGCTCCCTTGGGAAAGCAGATAGAGCTGGTGGGCTTGCAGCCTAAGCCCCACCCCTCTACTCGCTCCAGTTGGTCCGGCATTGTTCTTGGGGAGGCCTCTGAAACCCCCGCCAATTGGTCGGGGGTGGTGGGGCAGGTTGTTAGAGGATCACCCCTCCCCCACTACCCCACAGGCCACGCTTGTGCCCGGGGTCTAGAGCAGTCTAGGGCCTGATAGGTCATAACTGTACCATGTGGTCTTGGGTGGGTCTTGCAGCATGAGGGGGTGGGCTTTTGGGGCTGCATGGGCTGTCCTTCTGATGTCATGGACCATGTGATGGTGGTGTCACACACCGTGGGGGTGGGGTAGACTTGCTGGTTTCACACACCATGCGACTGGGGGCAAGGTGGAGTTACTGATGTCACACACCATGTGACTGGGGTGGGGGCAAGGTTTGTGATGTCATGCACCATGTGATGGGTCAGGGGGAGGGGCTTGAGTCACACACCATGTGACTGCGGTGGAGGTGGGGCTTCTGGCATCACACCTTACAAGGGGAAAGGGGGTGGGGTGATGGGGGCAGGACTTCTGGTCCCACCCACCTGTCAACTTTGCATTGAAGGGAGGTGAGCCTATATCAGGGGTGGGCAATTATTTTGGGTGGAGGGCTGCTTACTGAGTTTTGGCAAGCCATCAAGGGCCGCATGACAGGAAGCCAGGGGCAGATAAATATTAATTTTCTAGATTTTTTAGGGGTCCCGCGGGCTGGATAGAATGGCCTGGCAGGCCACATCCAGCCCACGGGCTATGTTTTACCCACCCCTGGCCTATATACTACTGCTGAAGATGTGCTCTTCGAGCAGGGACTGAATCAACAAAGGGTAGAAAAGAAAAAAGAGGAAGGAGAGAGACTTAGCAAACTCAGGTGTCCTTAGCTACTAGCAGGTGGCCCATTAAATATACTACATTGACTCTTTCTGTGCCAGCTGTTTTATTAACAGAACTGAGAGTGGGAGGAAAATGAGCATGAGACAAAGGAGATGTGTGAAGGAAACAGGGTTTTTTCTTCAGTTTGGTTTTGTCTCTGGATGAAGGGCAGGGTTTAAGGACAAGTAACATATGTTGGGTGTGTCAGTACAGGTTTATATTAGTGAGTTTGTGCATGAGGAAGTGAGTAGGAAAGCCCGTAGGTGTTGTGTGAAAGAGACCTGTTGTATCTTGCTGTGTTGCCAGGGTATTTTCTGTTACTTTTAAAAGCTAGGAGGAGGCAACATTCAGATGTGGCTCTATCTTCATTTAGGATTTTGGATTCAGCACTTTATGCTTAAGAGGAAAAATAAGCAGAAACAAAAGCCCCGAGAGGGGGGTTGGCAAGACACAGAAGTGACTGTATGAGAAGAATGGAAAACCTTGTCTTGTTATACCCAGGAGGCCTTAAAGCTTGGAGTTAGTCAACTTCAGTATTATACCTCTTTTGCAGTAATGTAAGGCACCCGTTGCATTAGAAATATAAAGC